CATTAAGAGAGAAATACAAATGTTTATGTTTGAAGATGTAAACCTTGGTTAGCTATCCTGAGCTAGGAGGAGTTTCCGTGCCCTTGCCTAGAGGTAAAGCTAGAAGCTTGACTGAAATCCATACACTTGGAAAAAAAGAAAAAGGAAGCCTCAGAGCTTGTATTGTGCCCGTCTTTCCTTGTTCAGCCTCATCTGAACATTATTATATGGCTAAAGTAATATCAGGAGTATTAAGTTGGATGATCTCCACTTTTCTTTCCTGCTTTCAGCATGGTAGCCTGCCAACCAAAACTGGACTAATAGCAATTAATGATTAAGCAACAGTTAGGCCACAATTGCAGGGGCATCTGAGGCTTTGTGAGATCAAAATAGCAGGCAGCTGGATTATCAAAGCTTCGCCCCTTTTTAATATCTGCTGCATGTGTGTGTGAAAAGAGGTGGGACTACTTCACCTATTTGCCATTTTGATGTTGACTTCCTGCAAAATCGATTCAGAAATTGGAATACGGTGCAAGAATAGCTGCAAAGTAAAGTTCTTACTGGTTTTTCATCCCCGTGATGTTTTTTTTTTTTTTAAATAAAGAATGAGGAGTCTGATCCAGAAGTCCTGGCAATCCAGCCATTGCAGATTTTGAGAGAATCAGTGACACTTAAGCAGCAAGTATCCATGTTGTTTGTGTTGTGTTAAAGCTTTCTTACTCATTGTTAGCACCATGTTACATTACTCTTAGGTGTTTAAACACAGTGATGGCAAATCGGTCGGGCTTGCAATGTCAAAAATGCATAACATGACTCTGCTAGCATGTCACCCAGCCCCCCGCCAAATAAAGGAGTAACAATTTTTAACATATTAAATTATTTTTAAAAATATACAATTATTTTTAAAATATACACAAGCTCAGGCATGTGTTAATAAAGACACATCAGATAATTATTAATATCAAATTTGAGTAAAATAAACCTATTTTTGGAGAATCTGGAAGCTGCACAAGAACATGACCCTCTTTGCACAACTTCTGATGGGTCCAGAGGCCACACAAGATCACACCCCATTTTGGTGCAGCCTCTGTAGCTGTCATATTAGAATGGGGTGTGCTTTCAAGAATAGGAGTTGTTGGGTGTTGGTGAATACTGATGTGTCACCCAAAATGTTATGTAGGGCATATCATTTTTGACACACATGTCATAGATCACTGTGTTAGTGCATCATGTCTTCAAAACCTTGTTTTGTTTGTAAATAAGAATTTTTATTATTGGTTGTCATACACTCGGATAATCGGCTCTTATTATAAATGGGACAAAGAATCTTGTGTCGACTAGTTTCCTCAGTTACATTCTTATTGTAAATTATATGAATTTTCCTCACAAACAAGAAATTCCAGTTTTCCAAAATCCTTTTATTTAGAGTTTCTTACTGGTATTTTGCAGAGACCAAGAGAGTGTCTCCCTGCTCTTTTAACACAAAACATTTTCTCCCATTTTTGCATAGATCATAACACATGCTTAGCAATATTAAATCAAGAATCTATTTTCAAGTGTAAAAAACTATGATGCAAGTAATTCCAGTGAAACTTCATGAGCAATTAACAATAATTCTTTATGAATTTAAAATTGTTTGGGAGCAAACAGCTGTTAATGTATTTGTACAATACGGTATAATAATTGTATACCAGCGTGAAGAATAGGATGACCTGTTCTTTTGTTCTCACTGAAATCTAAATCTGTTCCAGAATCTCAGTTTTACTGCCTTTGTTCTGGGAGAAAAATACCATGCTGACTTTCTAACAAGCTTCTTCTTCTTTGCAATACATGAGAACAGTATAAAACGAATGTCTTTAATTAGTAACAATACATAATCATTAAGAGCAACCCCAAATGGCCTTATTTTAATCTCTGGGTGCTTTGGCTTGTTTTCATATACAGTATTTTGTAATTGTTCATGAGACTTTTGCAGAAGATGCTTTATTATGTATACTCAGCAGGGATGCACAAACAGAAAATAGGCTTTTTTTTTAAAAAAAAAATCTAAAACAAATTATCATTCATTTGGATGATTTTCCAAACCATTTCAGATTAGGCTGCAGTTCGACAGAAATTAAATTTAAAGAGTTGTTTAGTTGAATCCTGGAGTAATTTTGCAGAACAATATCAAAACTAATGCATGTTACCCATTCTGCATCCTCTTCTCATGGACTGTTTGCACCATGGGCTGTTTGTCCACAGAGGTGTACTTCCCGGTTCATTCAGTCTCCCCTTCCAGCTGTCTACTATTTCCAATATCCTAGCATTGTGTATACCACTGGCCCACCTGGTCTATGATCAGTTAATCACGGACTACAGCTGGAGGGTTATGTGGAGGTCTTCTAGTCCCAACTCCCTGCTCAAACAGAAGAACCTATACAATTTCAGACAAGTGACTGTCTTCTTAAAAACCTCCAGTGATGAAGCATCCACAACATCTGAAGGCAAGCTGTTCCACTGGTTAATTGTCCTCATTGTTAGAAATGACGAATCTCCAATTCCAGGTTGCTTCTCTATTTGATTAGTTTCCTTCCATTGTTTCTTGTCTTGCCTTCTGGTTCTTTGGAAAATAAGTTACCCCCTCTTTTTTGTGGCAGCCCCTCAAATACTGGAATATTGCCATCATGTCACCCTTAGTCCTTCTCTTCTCTAGACTAACTATAGTCTAGAGACTATACGTTCTTCATATTTTTTAGTCTCCAGTCCTTTAATCAGCTTAGTTGCTCTTCTCTGCATTTTTCCCCCAAAGTCTTAACATCTTTTTTGTAATGTGACAACCAAAACTGGATACAATATTCCAGGTGTGATCTTACTAAGGATTTATAAAGTGATACTAATACTTCACGTGATTTTGATTCTATATCTCTGTTTATACAATCAAAAATGTTATTACCTTTTTTGGCTACTGCTGCACATTGTTGGCTCATATTTAATTGACTGTCCACTAGGACTCCAAAGTCCCTCTCACAGTTACTGTTTTTGAGCCAGGTTTTACCTAACCTGTACTTGTACCTGTGTTTTTTTCTGCCTAAGCGTAAAACAGTGCTTTTCTCCACATTAAATTTCATTTTGTTAAATAGGACCCATTTTTCAAGTCTGTCAAAATCTTTTTGTATCCAGAGCTTGTCTTCTGGGGTGTTGGCTATTCCTTCTAGTTTAATGTCATCTGCAAATTTGATGAGCTCCCCTTCTATTCCCTTATCTAAGTCATTTATGAAGATATTGAAGAATACTGGGCCTAAAATGGAACCTTGTGTTACTCCATTGCTTACTTCCCTGAATGTAGATGTAGTACCATTAAGGAATACTCATTGATTACGGTTGTCAGCCAATTACAAATCCATCTGGTGGTGATCTTCCTAGCCCTCTCTACAGATAATTATTTTCTGTATTTAACATTGTCTTCAGCTGTGGCTTGACATCAAATCATGCTTAAAATGTTTTGCCCATAATATTTAGCACATCTTACCATATTAAGAGGTTTTGCAGTGTTGTTATCAGATCAGAGCTAGAGATAAGAAACTATTCATGAGCTGGACAGTAAAGCAAATATTTAATAGCTGCTAGAAAAAGCAAAGTCTTCTTCCAGTTGAGCTCAACTCCTGATGATTTAATAGATATGTCCATGTAAGGTTTTTGACAATTATAAGATTCACAGTTGCCTTTTTCCAAAACATGATTCAGGATGCCTTTACACAATGCTGAAACTGAATAAATTAGCTTTAATACTGCAGCTTTTTACTAAAACCCTAGCAATGTTTGTGGTAAAAATAAAATGTCTTGATTAGAGGCAACAAATACTATTGTTCTTGTTTTGTATTTATGTTGATACAAACGGATTTGACAAATGAAAAGATGAGCTACCAATCTGCAGTTTGAACTTTTAAAATTATTAAAGTGAATTGAGCAGTCCAACTACTTAATTTTGTGCCAATGCAGTTGAAGAAATTTTCAACTATAGTGTCAAATCTATATGTAAATTACAGGTCCTGTGTCAGTGTAAAAATAAAGAAATGCAAGGAAGTGGAAAATGGAGCTTCTGATACACTCTTGCAAATATACTTACAAAATATATTAATCTGCAAACGAGTTCAGTTATCTGAATTTCGGTGCTGTATTTCCATTTTGACTGCTTGGCAAGCTGTTTTAAGCAATTCTTTCTATTAAGTGCATTCACGGAAGAGATCATCTCTCTCTTCTTTACCATCAAGACTGAATTGTCGCCCATAATCATAGAGATGACATCTTTCTTTTGCAATTAGCATGGACTAAAGTAGGGTGGTAAAAGGTCACTGTGACTTACCTGATTTTTTTCCAGCCCATTCATCTGCTTCCCTAAACCGACTGACAGAATTATTAAATATAATAGTGCCATAGCAGATTAATTTGTTGTATTTGGGAAGTTAGATGTAAAGCAGGTTGATGATATCAAGAGTTTAAATTATTTGATCCATTGCCCTGGGATAAGAAATTGCAGTTAAAGAGACTTCCTGTTTTTGTCACCCAGAAACATTTATAGCAAGAGATTATCCCAGGGCAATGGAGATTCTGCATTTATTTGTCAAAGATCCATTGCCTACCATTACAATACCAAATCAAAACTCAAATGCCAAATATAAATTTAAGATAGACTTTCAATTACTCTAAGAATAACTTACGTATCAGTGCCTTATGGAAAAATTTTAATTATAATTTGTGTTGTTAGAATGACTGTAATATGCTATAGGTTTTTAAAGAAACACCTATGTGATAAAAAGAATGTTTTAACATCCATCTTTTCTTTACTTCGAGATTGGCAGTCATGCGGGATTAACATGATTATGGTTTAGAACTACTTCATTATCAGAGATTTTCCTCTACTCTTTATTTTTAATTCTGAATGAGGGCTAGCTAGAGAAAATGTGCCTTGTTGTATAGTTGTAAAACAAAAATAAGCCCTTCTTCCATAGTGGCACAAATTTATTTTCTTTCCTTCATAGGACACCATGGTTTAATGGATGGGGTTTTAATCTACCCAGAGGTCAATCTTTGTTGGACAAGTGGAACCTTATTCCTGAAGGCATAGATATACTAATGACCCATGGGCCTCCTCTTGGTGAGTATCACAATTAAACTAAGATCACTCTCAGTGTGTATGCTTTAGCCCAGACGTTAAGGGCATTCAGATAGATTGATTGATGCAAGGGCAAATGGGAGAGAACAGATGACTTTTCAATTCTATTGTATGCAGTGGTATCGTCAACTGGATTCTCTAAGTAAAACCTGATTCAAGCATCAATTCCTTTTGCTGATTTGCAGTGATGCTATGGAAGGAAATTAAATCTCCGTTTTAAATAGCAATAGCATTTAAACTTAAATACTGCTTCATAGTGCTTTACTTCCCTCTGTAAGCGGTTTACAGAGTCAGCATATTGCCCCCAACAATCTGGGTTCTCATTTTACCAATCTCAGAAGGATGGAAGGCTGAGTCAACCTTGAGCCAGTCAGGATTGAACTCCTGGCAGTGGGTGGAGTTACCCTGCAATACTGCATTCTAATCACTGTGCCACCACGGCTCTTGCAGTGATATAGAAAATAACTTTTCCGAAAAAACTCACTTTTTAATGAGATTTTGAATTCTTGCCCCAAATAGGATCTGTGAAGAGATGATAGTGATAATAGGGAGCACATTAAAATCCATGTAGTCCAGGCATGCCATAGATTGCACTGCTGAGCCCTTCCTTTGGCACTGTTTATACATTACAGCAGTATGGAAATTGCTTTGCTCTGGCATCCTCCTTTAAAAGCCAGCATCAAAAGGCTGAGGTCAGTTATAGAAAAATTTCTAGGGCAATTGTCCAATTGGAAGGAGAAGAACTATTCTGTCTGGTTGGAAGAAGCCATGCTATCTTACTTCTAAGACCATTTAGGACTTCAAAATGAGAGAAAAGTAACTTCTAGGCAAAAGCTGCAATGTAGGAATGGCAGGTCTATCATCAGCTGGACATTCCTTCTCTTCTTCCCCACTCTGTCCATTAACTGTGCTACTTTTCTTCCTCTTCAAAGCCATCACCAAACCCACCGACAGGCAGTCACTGCCCATCCTCCCAATTTAGGTTGTTTGCTTTCCTCTGCCTGCAAGTGTTCACTCCACTGTCGAAAAGGGTGAATCTAAACATTGCTCCAATTATTGCACAATTGCTCTCATCCCTCACATCAGCAAGATTCTGCTTAAAGGGAATTACCAGATATCCAAGCCAGCTTCTGAAGGGATCGTGGCACCCATAACCAAATTGTAGATCTGCACTAGATCATGGGGAGGAAAAGTTGTAGAAATCAAAAGATCATTTACATATGCTTCACTGATGATAAGAAAGCCTTCAATTCTGTTGATCATGAGAAGCTATGGATAACTCTACAAGACCTTGGGGTACGAGTGCATCTAGTCAAGTTGGTGCAATCACTGTACACAAATCAGGAAGCCACTGTGCGCACATTGTATGGTGACACTGATTGGTTTAAGATAGAGAAAGGAGTGTGACAAGATTGCATTTTCTCCCCCTCATTCAATCTGCAAGCTGAAATGATCATGAGGAAGCTATATCTGATAATCAAAAATCAGGATAAATACACTGATGATACAACTCTCGTCTCAAAAACCAAAAAAGACCTGGAATATCTGATCAAGAAAAAAGTTAGAATGTTGGTCTCGTTTTAAAAAAGACCAAGCTCATGACTACTGCAAGGAATGGAAACATCAAAAGGGAAATTGACAGTGAAGAGATTGAATGAATGGAAAAATTTCCTAGGATTGCAGATAGCTCAAAGCAGTGAATACAGCCCAGAAATAAAATATTGGGTTGCACTGGGTCACACAGCAATGATGAACATGAAGCAAGTATGAAAAAAAGCAAGGACATCAGCCTGGCAACCAAATGTAGGTTAGTCTGCTCTTTGTGTCCCATACACTGTCCCATAGACAGTCCTATGACTATGAAAGTTGGACCTTAAAAAAGCAAGGTAGGGAGAAAATCAACTTGTTTGAGCTGTGGTGCTGGAGATGGCTCCTGTGTATCCCTTGGGCAGCTTAGGTGATTAACAAGCAAGTACTGGATCCCATAACACCAGACATGTCACTAGAAGACAAAATCATGAAACTGCCTCACTTATTTTGACCATGTCATGCAGGGGAATTCACTGGAGAAAGCAATTATATTTGGAAGAGTTAGCAGTAAAAGGAAATCAGGCTGACAAAGAACACGATGGCGGAACACCATCAAAGCTGACACCAGCCAGAGCATAGAAAAGCTCAAAGAAGCGGTGCAAGATCAGAAGATGTGGAGAGACCTGGCCCATAGAATCGCCGAGAGTCAGACATGATTGAATGGATAACATCATCATTGCCTGCAAGTAATCAGGGTACTTCTACCCCATTGTGGATATAATTACTACAGAGTTTTTAAAAAGGGAAATTTCAGCTAGTCCCTCTTTTTCAAACCAACCTATCTCACAGAGTAGTTGTATGGAAAAATGTGAGGAGGGAATGCTATATTCAGGATCTTGAGCTCCAGAAGAAAACCCAGCATATAAATTTAACAAACAAGCAAATTAGACTAGTTATGCCAGGGCTGTCAATCTCCCAGCCCATGGGCCAGATTCATCATGCGCTGGCCATGCCCAGTTTAGCAAAGGGAGAAAAAGTCCCAATACGTCATGTGATGCTGCTGTGTCAACGTGAGTTTGACACCTCCGAGTTATGCAGTTCTTGGCAAACTGGATCGTAATTTGTGTTTGTAAGCATTATGCCAAAATTTGTAAAAATGTACACATGGGTTAGATTGTTTAGGTAAGACATAACCATAGAAGCGAACTGAAACTGTGTTGTAATGTAGAATTAAATAAATTTGACCCAGGTAAAAACACCTCTGAAGTTGATTAAATAATATGAAGGAGGAATGTGCAGCCACCTATTTGATTTAGCTCTTCCTTCTCTTAGATCTTTCTTATCCCTTTAATCTTTATAAATGCAGAATATTAGACCTCAAACCTTTGCTATAATGGATGTCATTATATTATGTGAACCTTTTATTGATTTTTTTTCATTACCTATAGACCTTAATGGCTTTCTTTTTAATAATAGTCAATTACTATTTTCCTTAGAGGCCTTTTAATATTCTCCTGTATTACAGTTTTACTTATACAGTTTCAAAACTAAGAAAGTATTGGTAGAGCTTGTCCGTCTGGAAATGATTGTTTTTGTCTTTTTAATAAATATTTTCCATACAATAAAAGTGTACAAAATTAAAAGAATAAAAAAAATAATAGAGAAAAAATGAAATAACAAAAAAGAATTATGATTTCTGCTTTTCCTTCTATCAAGTAATTGACATCTTAGAAGAGAATATCTGTAGCTCACGGTGGAAGTGAAGAGTTCTTGGTGCTCTGAGTTTGATGGTTTCCTTGAAGATGTTTTTTTAATCCAACTAGGTATTATCATCAGTGTGAGTAAGCATGGGATTTGTTCTCTATTTATGTACCCTAGCCTTCCCTAGCAGTGTTGATAGGGGTGGGTTTTCTTCTTGGTAGTTCCTTAATTGGGATGTGGTTTTCTGCTTGATTGTTTGCCTGGTATCCTGCTTATATAGGTGGTGGTTGAATATATGTTCCGGTCCTTTTGTTTCCTTCTTAACGTTTTTATTGTCTCTGTTGAATGGTACATAAATATGCTTTATTTCTTTGTCTATTGAAGGCTAATCTCTCCCAATGCCAAACTTCCAGAAATTCCCTAGTGGTTTTGGGTTTAGGTTGGTCTAAGATGTTTTTGGTTGAGTTTGTCCATATATTGTAAGATTAAGGAGTTTTCATTGTGTGTTCTTATTGCTAGTAAGTATTCATAGATGCATTCTGTTAGTCTTCTACTACCTTTCTTACATGGTAACTATTCCAGTCTACAATATACAGACCCTTGTTTATTTTTCTTGGGCTACTGAGTCTTTTTGCTTACCTAAAATGTTTTGGAGGACTTTAGTTGGTTTGCATACTATGGTAATGCCATGTAATTGTAGTAGTCTGTTGATTGTTACTGAGATGTTTTTGATGCATCATAGTTATCCTTTTCATAGCTTGTGTTGGTTGTGCTGTAGTAAGGTCAAGCACTTTCTGATAAAGTTGTGTTTAGATCCATTTTGTTGAAAGTTGTTGTATAGGCAGTCTGTTTCCTTTTTCTGATGTTCTGGTTGCTGCAGTTTAACAATTTTGTGTACTCATCTGAATAATGTTCTTACACAATATAGCACCTGTTGGAGAATGGGCTATTAATGTGTACTGTTTTTCAATAGACTTGTGTTTTGTGTTGCTATAATTTCTTCTGCTGATAAGGATAGCTAGGAAAGGTAGTGTGAATTTTTTTCCTTTTCTTGTGAATTTTATTTATTTGAAGATGCTGATAGTTTCATGTGTCTTCTTTAGTTGTTTCTTTATTATGATGATTAAGGCGTTTATCTACTGTACATACTGGACCTGGTTCAGTGTTTTTGGTTATGTGAGTGGGAGTGCTGTAGTTTCCAGATGCCTCAATACACTCTCTGTTATGAGTCCTGAGAGTGGAACTCATGAATGTCAATATATTTGTCATCAAGCTGAAAGTAGCTAGTGGGGCAAAGATTAATGAGGTCCATGATTCTGGATATTTTGATCTTAGTGTATTTGGCTAGGTCAGGTGTGTTGCATAATACTGCAGCCATGGATTTTTTCATTAGTTCTGAATCTGAATGCTCTGACATTGAATGAATCATAATTTCATTTTTGATTTTTAAATCTTTGATTTTTCTGGAAACATTGTAGTGGGGAGTTAATAAAATATTCACTCCCTTCTGTGAGATATCCAAGCTTTTTTGTAAGTTTCTTAATTATGTTGTATGTTAAAATCCATGGCTTTATGGATGATACAATTGGATCAATAGTACAATTGGAGTAATGTTGGGCTTGTGTATTTTGGGATTATCATAGAAGCATGGCAGGATAGGTTCAATGATTTGCATCTTCCCCCATTCTTCTTTAGTTATTTGACCTTTCATGGTTAGATTATTAAGGGTTATCTTGATTGTATCGTGCAGTTTCTGTATTGGGATAGTACTTATTCGGATGTAGGTTTCTTTATCTTCTGGTAATTCTTTGGCTTTTTGTATGGATTGTGTTCTGCCCATGATAACCTGTATATTGTATTCTGTCCATTCATCCTTTTCTGCTGGGAGCTTGGTTTGGTCCTTCTTTTGGTTTTTGGGAGCTGCTCTGTCTTCTGCTTTGAGTTGGTTCTACTTTGCTGTTCTTCTGGTGTGTGATATGATTGTCTGCCTTATGTTTTGGGTCTCTGAGGCAAGTCCTGAGGTTTTAAATACTGCTTCTAAAGCTGCAAAAAATTCATAGAGCCCAAAACAGCCTGTTTCACATTCAGAACAGACCATATGAAATTCTGTACTTTGAACATTTCAGTGTGAAATGTTTGTACAGCCTTTATGCACATAATTGATCAGAATATGTATCACATGAGAAACAGTAAAGAAGACAGTTAAATCAAGAATTTGCAGTTTTAATTGCTGTATTTAATAAGCTATCAATTGCAAGTCATCCAAAGTTCTACCAATTGATCCTTTTCTAATATCTAATATCTAATAATACAGTATCTTTCTTTGGTTTTCCTTGTTAAAGACAGAAATTTCCTAACCAGTGATTTACTTTTATGTTGTTGTAACATGAAGAGTCCTTTCCTGTAGCATAAGAGTAATTCTACAGCAACTGACTGGCACACTCTCTTCCTGGTGTGGGGAGAGAGTGAGGTGTATAAAACAGATCTATGCTCTGTGCGGGCCCAGCTGTAACTATTAAAACTGCAACCTATATTTTTTATAAATCCAGGTGGCTGTGTCTCTTTCATTCCCATCTTTCTCAACCAACTTTTCCATATGACAATGAATATTGGTGGTGCAATAAAATTTTGCATTGAAAAATCTGTATAACATCTGCAGATTGAAAAAAATATATATAAAAGTGTGCACATACATCGATGTAACATGGAGAAAATAATGAAGAATTAATGTAAGTAAGATACCAGGTGTTGTGACCCCGACTCCCGAGCCTGTCCTAATAGAGGAAGAGGACTCAGAAGGTGATGGGGAGGAACTGACAAGGCCTCCCTCTCCAGGACCCTCCTTTCTGGTAATGCCTCAGGTTCCATCCGAAGGCCAGGAGGAACAGCCTGGAATGTGCCAGGAGGAAGGCATATCGGAGCACCAATTGATAGGAAGTGAGGATGATGAATCCTGGCTTGATCCCAGGCAGGGTCAGAGGGAGAAGTGTGCGCAGCAACTGAAGAGACATGGGAGGGCCAGAGATTGAGCTGAGTCATGGAGCCACGCTCCACCAGGAATAAAAGTGGGTGGGATTGCTCTTCAGGCTTTGTGACGGACAAAGTTAAACCCTGAAAGTCACATCGTGATGTCTGAAATTCAGTTTGGATATATTTTGGACTGAACATTGACTAAACTCTTGTCTCATGGATAATTTGTTCTCCTGGAACAGACTGAAGATAAGTCCTCTTCTGCTTTATGGGAGTGAAAACAGTCTTGGCAGGCATTCGGCAGTTTGCTGCCAAAACCTTGGTCTGCCAAGAATTCTAATCTGTTTACCTAATAAAATATTGGCAGGCGTGCTTGGTATTACGTTTGCCTGTGTGAGGAAGGGGGACAGATACCAGGCTTTTTCAGCATAATTCTCTTTGGAGAAGTCTAAAAGACAGTTAAGTGCATCCACTCTATGGTATACAATAACCTCTTCATACAAGGTATCTACAGAATGGTATTAGCATTATCAGCTACAATGCTGTAAAAAAATAAGATACACAAATTGATGACAGAGTTCTGTGCAACTGGGTAGTCCTCAATGGAACTGCATCTACATGGAGGGAAGTATCCAGTGGAGTACCCCAAGGCTCTGTTTTAGGCCCAGTACTCTTCAACATCTTCATCAATGGCTTGGATGGGGGGATACATGGGGAACTCATCGAATTTGCAGATGACACCAAGCTGGCAGGAATAGCCAACACTCCAGAAGATAGGCTCAAGATACAGAAGGATCTTGACATACTTGAACATTGGACACTATCCAGTGGTGGGATTCAGCCAGTTCGTACCACTTCGGGAGAACCGGTTGTTAACTTTCTGAGCAGTTTGGCAAAGTGGTTGTTGGAAGAAATAATTAGGGCAGAGAACCGGTTGTTACTGTAAATTACTTGAATCCTACCACTGGCACTATCTAACAAATGAAATTCAACAGTGAAAAAAGTAATGTTCTACATTTAGGCAAGAAAAACAAAATGCACAGGTACAGTATATGTGGTATCTTGCTCAATAGTAGTAACTGTGAGAGGGATCTTGGAATCCTAGTGGACAACCATTTAGATATGAGCCAGCAGTGTGCAGCAGCTGCCAAAAAAGCCAACACAGTTCTGGGCTGCATAAACACAGGGATAGAATCAAGATCACGTGAAGTGTTAATACCACTTTATAATGCCTTGGTAAGCCCACACTTGGAATACTGGATTCAGTTTTGCTTGCCACAATGTAAAAAAGATGTGGAGACTCTGGAAAGAGTGCAGAGAAGAGCAACAAAGATGATTAGAGGACTGAAGGCTAAAACATGTGAAGGACGGTTGCAGGAACTGGGTATGTCTAGTTTAATGAAAAGAAGGACTAGGGGAGACATGATAGCAGTGTTCCAATATCTCAGGGGTTGCCACAAAGAAGAAGGAGTCAAACTACTCTCCAAAGCACCTGAGGGTAGATCAAGAATGAGTGGAAACTAATCAAGGAGAGAAGCAACTTAGAACTAAGGAGAAATTTCCTGACAGTTAGAACAATTAATCAGTGGAACAACTTGCCTGCAGAAGTTGTGAATGCTCCAAAACTGGAAATTTTTAAGAAGATGTTGGATAATCATTTGTCTGAAGTGGTGTAGGGTTTCCTGCCTGGGCAGGGGGTTGGACTAGAAGACCTCCAAGGTTCCTTCCAACTCTGTTATTCTATTCTATTCTATTCTATTCTATTCTATTCTACTCTACTCTACTCTACTCTACTCTACTCTACTCTACTCTATTCTATTCAAACATACCACAAAATTATAATGGCTATTGTGTTACGCAATCCTACCATGCCTGATATATATAGTACATCTACTTGTTTACCACATTTTGTACCATACCCTTATTAAAGTCCCTTGAGTAGAGTATAAAAAGATAATTAAATTGTACAATATTAAAATACAAGCAGAATATTAAAAACAAATTTAAAATTGCAAAGCAACAATAATGGCAGCAGCGTAAAAGCATTAAAGCATATACTCTACAGCTGGTATCACTATTGAACATAAGAGCCTCAGCAGATATCCATTACATCTCATTTGGTAGGAGCACTCAGAAAAGGGCCTGTGAAAATTGTCAATCTGCATTGGTATATGTGGGAGAAGGCAATATTTTACATACTTTTAACCACAGTATAATTTAGGGAATTAAATATTAATGCCCACATTTTGAAATTGATGGTATAATAATAGAGGAAATGACCTTAGGAAACAACAGAGAGAGATGCAGATGGAACAACGAGCATGAAAAAGTTGTCTCATCCTACAGAAGGTGGGATGACATGGGAAAGGAACTCTTAGAAGGGACTCTGTCTAGTTTTATGGAAAGTAAAAGGAAAGGATGAGAGAAATACTTTCTTTCAAGTCCTGCAAGATTTTGATAATGTAACCATACAATAAAGATAGAGATAGCATTCTTGATTTTCTTGACTGGACTATCTCACAGGGTAATATTAATCTTGCAATCATGGAACCTGTGAGCATTCTAGAACAAGCTAACTCCAAAAATGTTAGGCATTTCTCGAAAGAATGTTAGGGAATTCTTGAAAGCTTGACATTCAGAGAAATCAGCCATCAATAGTCACATAGCAATACAACATATTTACAAACCATTTAAGAAACAATACAAAAGTTAAGAAGGAAAGACCAGGCCTTTCCAGCAGCCAATCTCAAGATTAGCATCAGTCAAACAATCAAGGAGAAAACATTAGCCTAAACTGGGAGGAAGTACCAAGGAAAAATCCACTAAAACTGGCAGAGCAAGCAAAAAGATATGTAAACGGAGTAAACTTCACACCCACTTGCATTGATTATGTTACCTAGTTGGGTAATGAAACATCTTTCAAGCTAACAATCAACCTCAGAAAGCACAGAGGACTCTGCTATCAAGACATCTTCTTCTTTCCCTTTGCTCTTTGATCCCATTTAATCCCCAAGTCCATAAATCATCATTTCAGTCTTTTCCTCTTTCAACAAAAAGGCCAGATAAGGCTTTCAGTCTTTTTAAAAAAAATATTTTATTATTTTTTCCCTGACCAAAATTCTAAAGGCCTATCAGATTTCAAGAGATAGGGCCAGTTCACATGATTTCACGCATACATGGATTTTGTACTGAATTGCTTTGTATGTTAGATATTTGTAATCGCCATTAAAGAAAAAGCAAAGGATAATTGAGAACGTGGGCCACTATCAAGAGTACATATTTAACAGCCTTGTGTTATGCAGATGAATCTGTGCAATTAGCTTAATCAAATTGTGTAGCAAAATATAGTATTTGGGAAGGCAGAGGTAGAATTCAAAAAAAATAATGCCCATAACTTAAAAAAAAAATTATGCCAATGAAAAGTTTCTTAAAAGCCACTATATATTATAATGGTGGTCGAATTATAGATAATGTAGTAAACCCTCTTTGAGTTATTGCTTCCTGAAAGTCTGTATTAAACTTAATCTACATATTGAAAAGTAAGACAATCAATTTTATCATTCTTTTAGGGTTCCGAGACTGGGTTCCAAAGGAGCTGCAGAGGGTTGGCTGTGTGGAATTGCTAAACACTGTACAAAGGCGAGTAAGACCCAAACTCCACGTCTTTGGAGGTATCCATGAAGGTAAGCAATCCATGAAATAAGATGCCTTGTGACGAGAAAATATTCGAGTCATTCTTTTTAGTATTTTATGTAAGAAAAAGATTTCAAATAGAACGAAGTTATTTTTTAAAAAATTGATAATGTATGTGATAAAAAATTTGATATTTAAACCAATATTATAGCTGAAGATGAAGCAATAGGAGGTAAGGAGAACGGTGCGTCACAGGAAGTGGCCTGGTGCCATTTGAGTCAATAATAGGAAAGCACAGATTTGATTGTACCAAGTTATTTGCCATCCTGATAAATGCTACATGTAGTAGAAAAATACAGCTAGTCCTCCACTTACAACAGTTCACTTAGTGACCATTCAAAGTTACAACGGTACTCAAAATAGTGACTTATGATTGTTTTTCAAACTTACACCCGTTGCAGTATCCCTTTGGTCACATGATCAAAATTTAGATATTTGGCAAATGGTTCATATTTATGACCATTGCTGTGTCCCAAAGTCATGTGATCACCTTTTGTAACTTTCTGACAAGCAGTGGGGAAGCCAGATTCACTTAACAACCGAGTTACCAATTTATCAATTGCAGTGATCCACTTAACAACTGAGGCAAGAAAGGTCATAAAATGGGGCAAAACTCACTTAACAAATTTACCTAACAACAGAAATCTTAGGCTCAATTGTGGTCGTAAGTCAAGGACTATCTGCACAATGCCCACTCTATGGCTTTTGCCCATGTTATTCTGGGCATGGAAGCTTCCCTAAGAATCTTGTATAAGTTGCAAATATGAGTAACATCTTTAAATCATTTAGAGCCTTTCGGATAAAAGAGACCATTTACATTTGCAGCAAGTGGTTTCATTCTGCATATGTTTTTTATAGAAAGTTCAAGAAGTGGACAACATAACCCAAATAGCAGAGCAGATGAAGAAATAACAAGTGAAGCGGGCGTGTGGATGTGTGTGGAGTTATAATCTGGTTTAAATTTCAGATGTTTTTAAATAGCGTGTGTATTTTTTAGATAAGCTTTTCAAAATATCCTGCTTTAATGTTAAATTAAAAGCAGAGGCATTTCTAGCACACAAATCTGGTTATGGGCTAATGAGAAATTCCTTCAAATAAACTAAGCAGGAGTTTTAAATATTTAATGAACTTTAGTTGCGTTTATATCCCAGCGAGAAAAATACCGCAAATGCTGCCTTAGAGAGCAGAGAAAGAACAATGTTGTGACCCCAGAGCTAAAAATTATATATTTAAATGCTTTATATTGCGTACCTCCCTTTTTGTGGAAATTTCTTACGGTCTTTAATTAAGCTCTCTGTGAGTACGCAGCTCTGGAGAACTTTATAAAACACGAGATGTCCAGTTGATTGGTACTGTTGCTTCCCCCCTCCCCCAGTTTGCATTATTGTAAAGCAACTATATTTTTATACCAGTGTTATATAAAGCCTTTCAGGTAGGTTTTCGTAATGAGAAATGCTGACTAGCCCTTAACCACAGCAGCATCGATGTAAAAAATAAGATAAACTGTATAATTTTGTATAAATACCGATGCTTAGGTATTAATGTTAAGTAAATGACAGAAGAAACAAATATTTTATTAGAGCATAGAAACTGCCTGCAGCTTTTGTAGTTCTCTTCCACGTTGAAAGTAATCAAACTTCCACTAATAATAGAATTAGCTGATGGAGAGATCATTATGGAAGGCTATTGTGAGGCTCAGTATTATACAATTTAAGTTTATGACTAGGCTGGTAACGCACACATTAACTATAAAAGAGATTTAATGAGTATTCAAGAGCATTGAGATGATAACAGTTTCTACTTATTTGAGTAGATCTCTTCCAACATAATGAAATCTCGTTAAAATACTATTATTACTAAATTATTATTATTGTTGTTGTTGTTGTTGTTATAACTTAAACATCAAATGCCCTATTATACCTTAGGTATATGGCTATACCTAGCCATAGAGAAATATGGAAAGTAGAATCATGTCCGTAGCTGTCAACATACATGGATAGGTGTGATTCCCTAACTTAATTGTACAACACAATGTGTGGAAAAGAGTAAAGGAAGGATTGGGACTGGCTTGGTTGGCTAGTTTTCTATTTTTAAGACCACACATGTATATTCCCATATATTCAGTATGTCTCTTTGGATCAGAATCAAAATTACGTTTCCTTTAATTCAGTTCATAGTTAACCTGTAAATGTTCGTGCAACCCTTGCATTATTTAGGATAAGCAGTTGCATACTGTTGAGGAGTTCAGCTTTTCATTATTTATTAAAAAGCAAAATCATAGGTCACATAGAGGATCTATTTTAAAAAGAATTCAAAAGGATTTTTCTTTTTGAGAGAGAGATTGCTTGTACAACAATTGTGAAATAATTGCTCTCAGAAGTATAGATTTAACCCTCAGTACCTTAATTATTAATTGCAAAGATTTGCACTGAATGTAGAGAACGAGTAATGTAAAAGAGTATTTCCTACAGTTTCACTGATTCTTCTAACATTTAAATTTTAACTTAAAGGTAAATCGTATAAGATTATTTTCACATGAAAGGACAGAACAAGAATTTGGTGCTACTAAATTCAGTAATCTGACTTTTTATGAGTAAAATTGCAAATACCTTTCTCTTTTGCCTGTTTATTTATTTATTTAAATTTGTATGACCTCTCACTCACCATGTATTTCTGGACAATTAACAGAAGGTTATACATTTAAAAACAGAACAGAAAACATGAAAGTATGTTGCACAGAGTCCTGGGACAGCATATTGAAAAGAGATCTCCCTCTTTATAGATCCAATATGCTGACAGTATCACCAGCACTGGAGGAGAAACAAGGACATGCTCTCTTGTGTGCTTTTTTGTCACACAAACACACACACATATAATGTCTAAGTTACTATAGAGTCTTCTAATGCTGAGGATGGCATTGTGGGAGATTTTACGTTTTTTTCTATCTTCTGAAGATGAAGAGAATGGTTTGATCATGGAAAATTGAATCAGAGCTTTTAAGCTTCTTTTGTGAGCCTGAAGAAATATCCAACCCTGAAGAGAGTGAAAAGGAGCATGCAGGGAAGAGTTTCAACACCATCCAGCATTGTCCGGTCCTGTTGACAAATTTCAGAATAAGTAGACAGTTATACTAGCCCACACGCTAGTGCCCTTTACTCCTTGTAATCAGCAACAAAGCAAAAGACGACATCACAGCACCATGTTCTACATTGCAAGGATCTTAGGAAAGTAGTCCTCTGTGTTGATTCTCCCTTTTTTGCCATTTTCCCACCAATTTATTTATAGCATTTTATGCGCATATATTTGGCACCTGCAATGGGACAGGTTGTTGAGCAAAGGGGAACATATTTATGATCTGTGTATTTAAATAAGAGTTCACCAACCTTTCCTACTTTATTTGTGAAATGGGGCTGTGAGCGTTTGCGTGAGTGGGGCTGCGAGTGCCGGCACCCGTCTCTCACATGAGTGGGGATATGCACACACACTCCCACCACTCACGCAGCCCAGTTGTGAATAGGTCATGGACCGGCAGTGGACCATGGTCCACAGCTTGGGGACCCCTGCTTTAAATAGTACTAACCCCCCGCCCCCCCCAAAAAATACTGATGAAGTACACAGACAAGATTCTAATGGTCTTGTGGACAATCTGAATGAAGTTTGAATTTTTAAAAAAATGTTTGGGAGACAATGGGAAGTTTTTGCCGAGTTCTCTGAAGTGACTTCATGATATATCAGGTAGCTAAATTGTCAATGTAATGAAAGAGGTGTCAGCACCAATTAAATTAAACATTGTTTTACATCTAACTTTACATGTGATGAACTTAAAAACAAGTTTAGAAATAATTCCTAACAAAGGACAAAGACAGCTTTGTCTTCTTAACTTTTTAAAGTTCATACTAAAGCAAAATTTTACTGCTTAAAAACCCAGGGAAAGAGTTATGTGGGTGATTTTAGATTACTGAAAATACATTAAAAGGTTTAACTGAATGCAGTTTCCAAAGCGTGCTTAGAACATTTTCCCCTCCTTTTGTCACTGAAGGGGTATTATACTAGGTCAATGTTTGTTCACATAACAGTAAATGTAACACATTTTCTCTACAGGTTATGGCATTATGACAGATGGTTACACAACATACATTAATGCCTCAACGTGTACAGTCAGCTTTCAGCCAACCAACCCACCAATTATATTTGACCTGCCAACGCCACAAGGATCATGAAAGACCGCTACTCCACTGGGGAAGGTCTATAAACTGCCATTTTTCTAATTACAAAATGTTCATTCTCTTAACATGTTTCTTTACAAATAATGTAGGGCTTTTTTGTAAATTGTTGTTACAGAGAAAAAAAAGATAGGGGTTGTGCTTTTTCTTTTCTCTCTCTCTCTCTCGCTCTCTTTTGGAAATGCAGTATCCATTTGAAAATTGATAAAACATTGTGAATTTGTAAAATGAAGTTTTATGTTCTCTTAATTAACTTGCCATTGTAAATTGTTAGTGTTCTCAAAAGGACAGCCAAGCTTTCTTTTAATGAGTGAGACACCTTATTTTAATATTATTAAATAAGATTATAAAAGGCATTGTTTAAAAAAAAAAACAGATCCAAATTTGCACAACTTTTATTGTTTTATTGGGGGGGGGATTTCCAATGATAAAATGCCATTCTTTCCTCATTTTTATTAGCATGTATATGTTCCATGAATCAGAGGTTGGAATATGTCCCTGTGCAAATGCACATCACAATTCAATATTCAATGAAGTGTGTTGAAAACTTCTGGAATTGATGGTTCTAGATATACTTACATCTGTGCTAGGCTGTGGTCACGGAGTTATTAAACTGGATGTGGATTCTCCATTCATTTCAGTGAATCATCTCCCTTTCTTGAAAAAAATTCTTGATCTGGAAGAATCTTTACCCATCAGAGCTCTTGTGTCCACAGCTGACTGCTGGATCAGGGATCAGTTTTTTGATTGATACATATGCGTTCTATGAAATTCTGCTTATTAATGGTATTGCAGTAGTGAGGGGAAAATAGCTTTCTAGGTTTAGTTTGTCTGCCTGCTTTAATGATCCGTTAGATAGCAACATCCTGTATATGATTATCTAAATTGTCCCAATTTGGGTGAGTTTCTTAAATTATTTTAGTTTTAAAAAATATGGGAATGAAAACTGCAATGAGCAGGTGTTCCATGCAGTAAAAACATGTAAATGTGGACTCCTTTTAAATATGGATTTTTATATATATTTTTTGTGCATTATAACAAAGCAAGGCATTTAATATTGCCAGCATAGCATCTCCAAAATTATGCTGTATAGCACATCTAAATTATGAAGGATGTGATACATTTTTTCCAATCGCTCAAGACCTTCAAGAGCTTGAGTTTAAAATCTTTGTGCAGTTTTGGGCATGTATAGAATCAAATAAATACAATCAAGCCTAACTAAAATAAGGCTTTGTTGTCCTTTATATTTAAAATATTATTGAATTGTCTTTCCATTTCTTTTTTTCTTATTTTGCACTGTGTGTAAATGCAATCTTGCTAGCACAAAATATTGTTGCAGATAGTTACTTCTGTTCTATCACTGTAAATGCTATTGAGCTTTCTTCTGTTTTATGTTATCTTCATGGAATTTAGGAAAGCAGGTGTTTCTTTAAATTTATTGCGATATTATATATCTAGCGGCCTTTATATGCAAATAAAATTGCAAGATTTTTAAATATTTAACTGTTTGAGCATGTTTTTATGGGTTGGAAAAATTAAATACTTGTTCTAATGGATGCACTCAGCACAACACTACAAAATAATGCTATACCCAGCTCAGTACTCCTCAGGGCAGTTGGATGCAGAATTCAGTGAATCATATGCATTGTTGAAAAGGAAAAAAAACCTACTCCTCCTCCTCCTTCTTTCCTCCCCCTTCTCCTTTCTCTCCCATATTATAATAGATAATGGAGACCAAGCAGCCCATTGGGTGGACTAAATGGGTCATTAGATTGGGCATGTATCAGAGAACTATTGTTAGCTTTCCAGTTCCTTGATCTAGAACCTTTTGTCTCAAGTTTACAGCAATCAAATCCACAAACTAGTGAATCACAAATGCCAGTTGAATCTCAGATTGTAGTAAAGAAAATGAAGAGAAAAAAAAAACCTTTTCCCAACAGTTATCCATACTCAGGTTTTTGGTGTATCAGCTTGTCATTTATAAAATCTGAGTAAGTTTTATGAGTAAATAATCTATCTCAAACCATGTGATAATTTATTAGATGACTCTCTGCTGAAAATGACTTAAATAGAATGAGTTTGAATGGGTAATCAGTTACTCACTTGCTGCCTTTGATTTTAATAAGTTACCCTTCTCATCCAACATGTCTACAGTGACCACATGAAAAATATTTTGTATAGTCACAAGTACTTCTAAATTCTATCACTTAGTACATTTTATTGAGATCCTTTTAAAAGCTTAATTTTGGTTGGAACATATTTTCAGTTTGGTTTCTGATCTTGTTACTTACTGGAAGTTTCATGAATTGTTTTAAAAGGACTGCTATTACACAAGCCACTTTCAGCATAAACAATTGTGTAGTTTGTTAACTAAGTAGAACTAGAGTAAAATCAACATTATGTACATTTTCAGTGGAAAGAAGTCACATACACAATCTATTCATGGAAATCAAGGGTCATAAAAATAATATTGCAATATACTGCAATAGATCCAGGATTATGACCCCATGCTACAATGTAAATAGCCTCTGAGGAAAAGTGAGCTTATCATGTAAATAGTTATACTGCTTTTCATAAAGTAAGTGTGATTATGATAGGAAACGTAAGGTTATGCCTCCCATTTCCACTTGATATAAGCTAGAATTTAGAATAAACAAATAGACTTCCGTTTGGGATCCCCTTAAATACACCATGTTTTGTAAATGTGCTCACATCTTATATCCCCGGTTATATATTTCTATTTATGGCATTTTACCTTGGCCTTCAAGGCACTTACTATTATTCTGTATGAATACATCAGACAGATTTCCACCAACATTCTCACATGGAAGATGGCCTTCTTAATAGCTTCCATCACTGCCACAAGAGTTAGGGGCTAGGATTCTTCTCAATAAGAGGAGGCCTATGTGAGTTCCACCAAAACAGGTTGGTCCTTGACTGAATTCCTGTTTGACATCCAAGATTCATTCTAGTTTTCACAGAGAAGTGATCATATTGCCAAATTTCTGCTAAAAGTTATAATATTAGAAATCAGAGCATAAACTAGAGATGCATAGAACTTAAGTCTACATCTCAAGCACAGGCAGCTGATGACCTGTTGATCTCCTATAGGGCAGGAAATTCAGGGAGATTGGTTTCAGCTGAAACCAATACATGTGAGCAGAGGATGAATTTCCTCCAGTCAGTAAATAGTCCAAGTTCTGCTTTCTGACTAGAGAAGATATATTAATCCTTTCCTCCAACAAGTGCATTTGCTGTCCAGGGCTAACAGCATTGATTGGTGCCCATAAATCCAATAACGGATACACTTTTTACATGTCCCATAATAATAATTTGGTTATCCCGGGGATAGACAACCTGCTTTCTTCTAAATCATTAGATCAACTCCTTTTGGCCAAAGTAAGCATGGCATGAGTAAGGTGTTGTGGAGACTATACTCCAAAACATCTGGAGGATACAAGGGTGCCCATTGTTAGCCTACTCTATCTGCCTTTTAAAAATAGGTGAAGTTACACCATTAGGGCAGTGATTCGGTGGGCGTGGCTTGGTGGGTGTGGTGTGGCTTGGTGGGCATGGCAGGGGAAGGATACTGCAAAATCCCCATTCCCTCCCCACTCCTGGGGGAAGGATATTGCAAAATCTCAATTTCTACCCCCGGGGCTAGCCAGAGATGGTACTTGCCGGTTCTCCGAACTACTCAAAATTTCCACTACCGGTTCTCCAGAACCTGTCAGAACCTGCTGGATTTCACCCTACATTAGGGTTATCTTCTTGCTGTTTAACATTCAATTCTCATGGCTGGATCTACAGCATTCTTATTGTTTTTATCTTTGGAATGTTATATACACAGACCATTTTAAATAACCAGTGCTGCCAAAAGGGATTTGGCTGAGGCATCCAGAAACAGAATGGATTATCTGTTTTGTTTGTTCTTTAACCTGTAGATGTTCCCATATGACTATACAAGAACCTCTGGTAGAAGAAGCTACTAGTGTTCAGTCTTTTCAAGTGATTGATTAACCACACAGTAGTCGATTAACCTTTTCACTTTGAGAGAGCAGCTTTCATCTAATCATCTTGAAAAGGTTGAAAGCAGTCAAGGCCTTTATCAAATGAGGGCTGCAGAATAGGATGTTCCACCAAGGTGATTGGTTCCTGAGTTCTCCTGTCTAGTGAATTCAAGAGACCTAGAGGTCAAGCATTTATTAGAGTAAGAGACTTTCAAATCAATCTGATCTACTTCAGGGGTATTCTACCAGGATCATACCAAAACAGTGTTTTTAAGGCAGAGTGATAAAATAATGAACAGTTGCTTGTAAGTAATTGTATTACATTTAAGATTGCCAAGAAAAATATTCTATTGCATTTCATATTTTGCAAGTATTCATTGAAAAAAAATAAAAGCTACATCATGCACCCTGCATGGAAGTGTTTTGTTTTGTTTGTTTTGGGGTGCCTTTCAGTCAATTTCTGACACCAGGTGACTTGCCTGATGTCAGAAACCTGCAGTTTCCATGGCAATATTTTGGAAGTGCCATTGCCTGCTTTCTAGAGTTGAGAGTGTGTGACTGGCCCAAAGTCACCCTGATTTATGTCTCTCTGGGTCTAGAACTCATGGTCTCCCAATTTCTAGCCTGATACTTTAACCCACTACACCAAACATGATATAGGGAGACAAAATAAAATCTAAATCTTCAGTAACAAACATAATTGAATTTACGTGCCTGCAGATTACTCCAGCATTCTCTCAGATACTGTAATTTGAATCAGATTTTATACAAGTTATATTTTTTTGCCTAGCCAACTCTTTATTTTTTGTTGTATGTTTAACCTTTTTGCCTGATTAATAGTTCTTGGAAACTCAGAAAGTTGCATGCTGTTTTGGGAACCTTCAGTTCGCCTAATAGAGATACTGATTTAAACATGGATTTTGGATTCTTTTAGTCCAAGTTGCTTTCCAAACCTTCATTCCATTTTCAGCATTCCCTTCATGCAGTAGGGAATAAAATAAAACAAACATTCATGTAACCAGCACAGTTCCTAACTCTTCCCACTTTCATTCCTATGCCCCAAATCTGTTTTAACAAATATGTATCTATTATGATTAAAGATATTCTTGTAGTAATAGTTCTGGAATTTAAGAAGTTGCCTTTCATAAAACATCAATATGTTCCAACAATTATCACTAACTTATGTAATTTAGCCTATCATTATTTAATTTTAACTGTGACAAAGTTCCAAAAACTCTAGGAAATTAAGGCTGGAGTAGCCAAGATAAATTCCAGTTTGCTTTGCGGTTCAAGTCCTAACTTGTATTCAGGCTCCTCATTCTCAACAAGTCTTCTATATACAATCCCTACTCCTTTTTTCTGCTCACCTATGATTCAATTTAAAATTCATTATATTCAGAGATGGGCGTCACATACTGTAACGACCGGTTCGCCCGGAACTGAAAATGCAAAAACACGCTTGTTTCACTCTCTCTCACACCTTCTGCACATGTGCACAGCATCAAAAAACTGGCGATTATATAGGACGTGATAGCACCAGGGCAGATGGGCAGGTCCAGCAGCTGGTCGGAACTACCATTTGCCCGAACCGGACCGGACCGGAAGCAGCCCACTACTGATTAAATTTAATTTCAATCACTTTGCAGCTATAACCATTATCAAAGACCAATCCTTGGATTGGCCACTTTTTCATCAGTAGTTGTAAACATTAGAAGTCATACCAAGGTTTCTTCATAAAGTGCCACCTGAATTCTTTAAAGTTTTGATATGCTATTAAGTGCATAAGTTACTATGGGTGATGATCACATGCATTTCATCATTTTCCTGTCTTTCCTCCCACACTGCCTTGTGACATTGATGCCCAGAAAAAATTAAATGATCTGGTTCTTGTTAAAATGCTAAAAACACTTATCCAATATCACTTGACAGCAACAATTTCTTGGCATGCCTCAGGTTACAATCCCATAGATTAGGGTAAGCCTGTGAAGTCTATTGTTTATCTACATATGAAATTTGATCTGTGGCAGCTATAGTTCATACTAAATGGATTTTCTTGTGCAAGAAGTTCTATATGGAAATAAAATAGATATTAAGATTACTTCTTTCTAAATTGTATATATATATAGCACTAGATTCCCAGCTTGTCTCCTTGTATCACAAATATCCACATAAAAAAGAACATTTCAAAGTACATAAGGCTAAAATTATGCAGCTCAGTAGTTTAGTGAAAGCGTTCACACAGTTCTAACAAGCTTCTCTCATGAAAGAAAATGAACTCTACAAAAATTAGATGGTGTTATTTAATTTTAATTTAATTTAATTTAATTTCGAATTTATATACCGCCCTTCTCCCTGAGGACTCAGGGCGGTGTACAGCCAAGATAAAAAACATAGAATACAAATATTAAAACACGATTATGTTATGATTCCAACGTTGATCTTAATAGCTGAAACATTTACCACAGCTCAATTTTTAAATAGGATTTTT